ATTTATTATTATTTATTATTATACATAAATATAAATATATATTTATATAATAATATACATTTATTTATTATTATTATATATTTATTTATTAATATAATAATATTATTATTCTCCTTATATAATAATATTATAATATTATTATTTATTAATAATATTATATATTTATATTTAGTATAATAATAATTATATATTAATAAATAATATATTAATATTAATAATATACTAAATATTATTGAATAATTATATACAATATATGTTATTAAAAATATAATTTATTATATAGTAACTAGTATATATATATATATACATATATATATATATATATGTATAATATATTTATTTATTTATTTTATTAGTAAAATACTAGTTACGTACCTGCGTATACACCCCAATATCCGGGTGTATACGCAATTATTGTATGCTGTCCCCACAAAAGGGAGAGAAAAAACGTTATAAATTATAATTAATTAATTTATATTTATTAATTTAAATAAATTAAATAGTAAATTATCATTTATAACAGAGAAAGACAAAAAGGAAGGGGTAATAATAAGGGCGCGGGGGCCCTCCCCCCCTTCTTACCTCCAAAGATAGGGGGGCCCCCCGTTGCACACCACCTACTAAGGGAACCCTTCTTCTTCTTCTTACTAAATAAATAAGTAAATAACTAATTATTTGTTTTATTTATTTATTTATTTATTTATATTTTGTTTTATTATTTATATATTAATTTATTTATTTTTTATTCCTTTTCTTCCTCTTCTTCCTCCTCTGTCTTTGCCTTCTTCGTCTGCTGCTGCAGCAATCGACTCTACACTTCGAGCAGCAGCAGCAGCAGCAGCAACAGCAACAGCAGCAACAACAGAAACACATGAAGCTGCTGCTGCAGCAACAACAGCAGCAACCCATGACGCTCCTGCTGCACCAGCAGCAGCAGCAGCAGCAGCAGCAGCAGCCTGTCTTGTAGGAAGACGATGGCTGCCTGCCGCTCTCTGCTGCTGCCATCCGCCCTTAGGGGCACTCGCTGCTGCTGCATCAGAAGCAGCAGCAGCAGCAGCAGCATCAGCAGCAACAGCAGCAAAAGCAGCAGCAGCACCAGCAGCATGACGAGCAGCACCACCACCAACCCCAGAGGCACCAGGAACAACACAAGGAACAGCAACAGCAGCAGCAACAGCAGCAACAGCAGCAGCAGCAGCAGCAGCAATGGTGGGGTTGGTGTGTTACGTGTGTCTGGAGTTCGTCTAGCACAGATCCCTGGTGCTAGCCGCATGCGTTGGCCTTATAGGCCTCCTGCTGCTGTTGCTGCAGCAGCAGCAGCAGCAACAGCAGCAGCAAATTGGAGGGAAATGGTTAGGAGACCCTTAATCAGTCCCCATACAGGAGAACCAATTGATTGGCTTAATACACAACCACAATCAGGGTAAGAGGGTTTAGGGTTTAGGGTTTAGGGTTTAGGGCACCATTCGTCAACAAATGCCTCTCTCTCTCTCTGCAGCAGCAGCAGCAGCAACAGCAGCAGCAGCAACAGCAGCAAATATGTCCCTCCCCTTTCCCTCTACATAAACAGTATAATTATAAGTGTATCTTTTCCTTGTGTCTCCTGTCTCCTGTGTCTCCTGTCCCCTTTTTTTATTATAAAATAAGACTAGAGACATTATCTGTATACGGAGAGGAGACAGTATAATATATAAGTGTCTCCTGTGTCTGCTGTGTCTCCTGTGTCTCCTGTGTCTGCTGTGTCTCCTGTGTCTGCTGTGTCTGCTGTGTCTCCTGTCTCCTGTGTGCTAGACTAGAGGCATTATCTATATACGGAGAGGAGACAGTATACATAGAGGGTTTACCTTATGGTAAGACACCTGAATATTTACAAGAAAGACTTTTGCGTCTTTTTTCTTCTTATGGAGGTGTACATACACTCCACGTTATTCCTCATCCTCTTGATCCTTATCAAGCTGCTGGGCATGCATTCGTCTCCTTTTATGAGTAAATAACCCTAAACCCTAAACCCTAAACCCTAATCAACAATACACACTCAACACACACTTATACATACACTCATGCCAATGCATATTAGGGTTTAGGGCTTTTTTAGGGTTTTTTTAGGGTTTTGGAATTTTTTAGGGTTTAGGGTTTTTCTAGGGTTTAGGGTTTAGGGTTTAGGGTTTAGGGTTTTGGGGTGTATATACAGCCGAAGTAGTGCATTAAAAGCTGTCCGTGTACCAATTCGTTTACCTGCTTCTCTTCATTACCATGTTCTTTATTTAATGCATATAAAGACAGGAAGATGTACTGATGATCTGTATATACACCGTAAATTACATGCCAATAAAAATATTCTTCTTCTTGCTAGGTAAGAAGAGATAAGAGGGTTTAGGGTTTAGGGTTTAGGGTTTAGGAGATGTATATTGCTCGTATCTTCTTTTTTGTCTCCCTGTGTTCTTTCTTTTTGTGTGTCCCCTGTCCGGTGTCTCCTTTGTCTCCTATTTGTGTCTCCTTTTGTCTCTTTCTTTTTGTCTCCTTTTGTTGTTTCCCTTCTGTCTCCTCGTCCCTCTTGCTCTGTCTCTCTCCTTATCCCTCTCCTCCGTACTTTCTACACCAGGGTTTAGGGTTTAGGGTTTAGGGTCTTGTTGCTGTTGTTGCAGGCAGATGCATGCAGCATTAATAAAGGAGGGACAGCCAATGAGTCTCTCTGCTCTTCGTCGTTCTGCCTTAGTGCGTCAATTCTGTGGGGATCGTACGATCCCAGTTCGTTATAAGCCTCTCCTAGTAGCGGGACAGCCGATCCTTAATGGGGATCGTCCGATCCCACCATGGGATCGTCCGTTCCCAGGTTGGAATCGATCGATCCCATCTGGGGATCGATGGATCCCAGCTGGGGATCGATCGATCCCACCCTTGGATCGGCCGATCCCACCCGGGGATCGATCGATTATAACTTCTTTAACTGGGGATCGATCGATCCCAAGCTGGGATCGATCGATCCCCAGTGGGGATCGGCCGATCCCCTTTACCCGCAGCGCATGGAGGGAGGCACAAAGTTGTGTTAATCTTGTCTTTGGATCTTGGGAGGCATTCCTTGCAGCAGAACCCTTTAACGAACTCTTCTTCGTTATTAATAGTAAGCAGCAGCAGCAGCAGCAGCAGTAGCAGCAGCAGGGGGTGTCCTAATGTACAGCTAAAGGTTATCTTGTTGCTGCTTGTATTGATTCCTTTGCTGCTGCTTCTGCTGCTGCGTTGTGGGGTGCCAGAGAAAGATGGCGGTGCTGGTGGTGCTTCTGCAGATACCTCCGCAGCAGAGCAGCAGCAGCAGCAGCAGCAGATGCTGCTAGCCCCTCGTCTTGTGTCTCCTGATAAGGTAGATATTCTCCTTAAGAGAGGCAGCAGATTGTTGCATAAAAAGCTCGAGGCTGAGCTGTCTGTACACTGGAGAAGGGGGAAACCCGAATTGCCAGAGTAAGCTGTCTATCATGCTGCTGCTGCTGCTGCTGCTGCTGCTGCTGTTGCTGCTGTTGCTGTTGCTGCTGTTGCTGCTGTTGCTGTTGCTGCTGTTGCTGTGGGAGTGCTACTGGTGGGGTTGGGGATGCTGCAGATTAGGGTTTGTGAGGGAGATGAGTGTGGGCTACTTGTAGAGAAACCGTTGCTGCTTCTGTTTGTGCTGCTGCTGCTGTTGCTGCTGCTGCTGTTGCTGCTGCTGCTGCTGCTGCAGCGACACAAAGAAGCAAATTGAGCGTTGGCTACATAGAGAGCCTCTCCCTGAAGAGTTGCAAGTTTGGTCTCGTTCTAAGGACTACTACAAGTAAGGGACCGTGCTGCTGCTGCTGCTGCTGCTGCTGCTGTTGCTGCTGCTGCAGCTCTATTAGCTATTGCTGCTCTTGCTGCTGCTGCTGCTCCTTTGCTGCTGTGCTGCTGCAGGATTCACGACGAGAGGCATCAATTTAAATTAAGGTTAAAGAAAGAAAGAAAGAAAGCAGAACTGCAGCGTCGTCTCCAGGTAGCAGCAGCAAAGCGAATTGCCGAGCAGCAGCAGCAGCAGCAGCAGCAGCAGCAGCAGTAGCAGCAGCAGCAGCAGCAGCAAGTTTGATAGTTCCCCTTTGTGAAGGTCGTTAGCTGCTGCTGCTGCTGCAGCGTCTTGCTGCTTCCCCTGCTGCTGCAGGCAAGGCAGCAGCAAATGTTACGTAGCGCTCAAGACTTAGATAAGGCAGCAGCAACAGCAGCAACAGCAGCAACAGCAGCAACAGCAAGAGCAGCAGCAGCTAGAGGAGATCTGCATCGCATGCAGATATCCTTATATTGTATCATTTTTACATTTATGTGTATATATATGTTTATTTAATTATTTATTTATTTATTTAGTTTATTTATTTATTTATTTAGTTTATTTAGTTTATTTATTTATTTATTTATTTATTTAGTTTATTTATTTAGTTTATTTATTTAGTTTATTAAGGGGAGGAAGAAGGAAAAGGAGACACATTAGTCGTAAAAAGGAGACAGCAGAGGGGAAAAAAAAAACACAAAGAAAGAAAAAATAAATAAATAAATAAATAATAAAGAAGGAAAGGAAGGAGACAGAAGAAAAAGGAGACAGAAGGAGAAGGAGACAGGAGGAGAAGGAGACAGCAATAGTAAGAAGGCAGCAATAAGAAGGAGACAGTAGATAGAGGAGATAATAGAGAAAAAAGAGGAGAGAGTATAAAAAGGAGACAGAAAGAGGAAAAAGGAGACAGCAATAAAAAGGAGACAGTAATAAAAAGGAGACAGTAATAAAAAGGAAACAGGAAGACAAAGAAAAAGGGAAAAAAAAAAAATAAAAAGAGCGAAGGTCTATCTAGTTCTATAGCAGCAGCCCCAAACCCTCGTGACCTCAAACTCTAAACCCTAAACCCTAAACCCTAATCAAGGGACCCCACAGGCTCCTTCTCTTGTTTTTATTTCTTTGGACCCTTAGGGTTTAGGTTTTAGATTGTAGGGTTTAGGGTTTAGCCTTTTCGAGCAGA